TGATCACATGTATGAACGTCCAGCTTGGAGGAGATCTAAGGTAATCCTTATCCAACTAGGATTCACTTTTACTTCTCAGTCGCTAACTGATTAGTTGAAACCTTAAACTTCCTTCAAACTTGTTTCAGCCATGCACTTCCATTTCCCCATACCAAGGGCCTCTACGTGAAGATTCCCCATCATGGTGCCATGGTCCCTTTGAACCTGAAGGGATTCTGAGGTACATTGGTAATAGTTCATGCTCATTCCTGAAATCTCTCCCAAACCTCAAATCTTGTTCTTTGTTACTTAACAGTTCCATATCAGCTGTTCTCTCTACTTTGATTGGAGTTCATTTCGGACATGTTCTCATACTGTGGAAGGTTAGTTTCTGAACCTACATTCCTGTGTATATCTCTACGCTGCAAAAAGGTTAGATTTTCTTACTTCTCTTGGAACTCTCAGAACCATTCAAGCAGATTGAAGCACTGGAGTAGTTTGGGAGTTGCTCTTCTTGTTTTAGGACTAACCCTTCATTTTACCCATGGTGAGCTTTTGAATCTGAAACCCTTAATGGAGACTGTGTCCAAGCACCATTTTGGAGTTCCATCATCATCTTAGTTTCTTCTTCTTGTGCAGCAATTCCATTGAACAAACAGCTATACACTCTCAGCTATGTCTGTGTCACGTCTGGAGCCGCGACATTGGTCTTCTGTGCCTTCTATGTTCTGGTAAACCCACTGAGAAAGAAACCAACTTTATCGAGCCTCTCACTACCAGTGAAAAATGGCTCTTGAAAACAAAAGTTTGCCTTCTCCCCGTCTTTCCCACAGGTTGATGTAGTGAACGTGAAGCTATTGTTTCTACCGTTGGAATGGATTGGCAGGAACGCGATGTTTGTTTATGTAATGGCAGCTGCTGGCATATTTGCTGGGTTTATCAATGGATGGTATTACGAAGATCCTCGGAATACAATGGTGAGGTTTATTAAAGCTCTTTTTGTATGGAAAACTTCAAATTACTTTCCTTCCCTCTGTTGTTCATATTTCCTGGCTTTGGGGGAGCAGGTGTACTGGATCAAGAAGCACGTTTTCGTTGGAGTGTGGCAGTCAGAGAGAGTAGGCATTTTGCTGTATGTTCTGTTCGCGGAGATTCTGTTCTGGGCGGTTGTGGCTGGCATTTTGGATTACCATGGGATTTATTGGAAGCTTTAATGGTATAATCGAAAACCATTTGTTTCCATTAGAGCATTGCACTGCTCAATGTTGTTGCTGGGAATGAGGAATGGAAGTTCGAGTTGTGCCAATCAGTCTCACAGTACACTCTGTAAATTTATCATCTTTAATTATAACCTTTCTGGCTGAAATCTTCTCTCTAACGTTTGACTCGCAAGTCAAATGGAGTTGACTAAATAAGTAAAACAGGTGGTTACTTTTGAGCTTGACAACAGAATTATGGGTAATGTCTATTTTTTATCCAAATCTTTTTCGAATTCTTTTTTATTAGCTAAACCTATCAAAATACTAAGAATTAACAAAATGTTAACTTTTAGTTAGCAATTTTGTTAGTAATATTGACTTGGCAACATGATATTGATTTGGAAGAGACACATGAAGGTCAACATTACAAAATTTTTGTATTTTAACTAAGAAAAGAGTTACAAAATTAGTAACGATAACGTAAAAATGGTTAATATTTTGATTCATTAAGAAAGATTTGGATAATTAATAGCATTTTAATAGGTTTGGATAAAATAAAAGAATCTGAAAAAGATTTAGGCATAATATACTTGTATAGCCAAAACTTTCGCGTTTTTGCCAATAGTAGCCAATTTTAGAGAAATACCACTTATAGCCACTTCCGTCCAATTCTTTAACGGTGTCAGCTAACAAGCTGACTGGACTAACGACTTTGCTTATTTGGCGACATTTCATCAACAACACTGCCACATAGATTAATATAAAATAAATAAAAATAAATTTAATGAAAATAAAAAAATAATTAAAAACCATTTAATAAAAAGCTCCACTTGCACCAAAAACCAAAAAACCAAAAAAAAAAAAAACAAATCTCTCCACCTACCCTATGCTCCATCATCGTCCCCATTCTCCACTGCTCCAAGAACCCCGAAACCTTCTCTCCTTCAAAGCCAAAAACCCAATAAATCTCTTCACCTACCCTCTGCTCCATCATCGACCCCATTCTTCACTGCTCCAAGAACCCCAAACCCTTCTCCCTTTCAAAGCCAAGAACCCCAAATCCCTGCACCTACCCTCCTTTGACGAGATTATTTAAACCCCTAAAAAAATCCCCATCCAATGCTCTCCCACCCGCCACTGCTCTATACGTCGACAAAAAACCAATTGTCGACCCTCTGCAAATCATCATCCTCAATCACCACGTCATCAGTAACAGTAATGAGCGGAGATGGAGAAGCAGGCGCCGTCAGGTCCAAATCGCCGTGGCCCCATCCTCTTCTTCAACCCCTACTTCAAATCCATGTTCAATCGTCGTCGCCTACTCCCACCCCTTCTGCCGCGCCGTCCATATCTGCTTTCCAAGATGAAGAACTCATCTAAGTGTTCCGAATCGGCGAGATTGCAGTGTAGACGCCATAGTCTGCAAGAACTTTGTTCTATAATTTCATATTTTGACGACGACGGTGGTGAGAAACATGGGCGTTTCGAAATAGAGAGTGGTCGAAGACTGTACTTCCTCGCTGGGTTCTCCAACTGGGATCCTTGACTGAAACAGGGGCAAAATTGGATCTACTGGCAGCCCGGTTCAGGGGCGATAGATTCAGGGGCAAAGGCGGTGGAGGATTTGGGTATGGGGTTTAAGAATATGGGTGGGGTATTCATTATTGAGAGCTCGTAGAGAGAGTTTTGGGAGGATGAAGAACTGGCTGAGGGGGATTTTCAGGGTGGCGGCGGTCGGATTTTCAGGGCGGTAGGAAGGTTTGTGACGGTGGAAAGAAGAAGATGAAGGGGAGAGATCTCTCTTCTTATTTATTTTTTGTCTTGGAAGAAGAAGGAGATGGAGAAGAGATCTTTAAATTAAATGGAATGACATAATTTGTTTTTTACTTTAAATTGTGACTTGGCTGCCATGTGGCATGGTACGATCTATGTGGACATGATGTGTCGTTTAGGTGGCAGCCACATCAGCCTAACGTCTACTTCACTGACGCAATAGTTGACGGTGTTAAAGTATTTGATGGAAATGACTAAATTAGTCCAATAAGTTTTAAAAATGTGGCTATAAGTGGTATTTCTTCAAATTTAGCTATTATTGGCACAACATGAAAGTTTTGGCTATACAAGTATATTTTGCCAAAGATTTAATAAAAAATAGACATTATCCTAATTTACAAACATGACAATTTGGGAGTTCAATATTTACAAATCAACCCTAAATATATTTGTGTATTAATTTTGAAAAAAAATTATAGTTCATGTAATAATGTATGCACAATAAAGAAGCTTGTTGAGGATGAAATGATATAGAGGATCACATTGGATACAATATCACCTGGAGGTTCGGCATCGAAATTCGAATAGTCTGAAGCTAGTCCTGCAAATTCGAGTTGTTACCGAAGTTGGGATTCTTGATTGTAAAGGAATCTGTCTTGAAGGAGCTATACATTATTGGAATGTCTAGTTTTGTCTCGATTTTGCTAGCAAGGAACAAGGAATCTACTGACCAAAAGAAGCAGAGGTCAGTGCAATATGTTACAGAAACATATAGAAGCTCTAGATCATGATTTATTATCATAGTAAATATTCCGTTTAATATACGTATATGTACCCGTACATAATTTATTCGTTTAAAATTTCCGTATTCGCATTATTGTCAAGCCGTTCCATTTTTCCACGCTCATTTGTTGGTTTTCGTACTAAACACGTATAAAACCCGTATAATGCGTTTAATATCCGTATTTAATGAATTAAATTATTAACTATATTATTATTTGTATATTTATTTATTTATTTTCAAAATAATTAATTTTTATATATTTATGATCATTAACGTACTATTAAACGTAAAATTAGTTTAGAGAAGAAGTAAAATATTCATACGTATTTTATACGTAACTTTCCCGTACTGTATTTTATTACCCTGATCATCGAGATTGATTGTGAAACTCTAATTTTGAAAATGGAGAAAAATAAAAGTTCATTAAAATGAGATGACAATTATCTGCTACATGGCGATGAGACTGATGGAGATGAGCAACACAAAAACCTCACGAGAATCGTCCATTATTGATCTTTCGCTCCTAGATAGATGACAAGCTTCCGGTACAACTTGTGGATGTTCTTTTGGATGACCATGTAGTCCTCCATGACTCATATTTTTTTCTTTTTTATGAATAATGACCCATATTAATTCCAAGTAATGCTATGCATACAAATTAGAAATTACCATCAAAATTTGCAAATAATATTACAAAATAGATAAAAGAAATGGCTACAATGTTTAGGGTTAATGACATAAATATTGTTTTTTTTTAATTTACCACCAATATGGCGGATTAAAAGCAAATGACAAAGATATTGTGTTTTTGGAAAAGGCTTCGGCGGCCACACCGAAGACTCAGGCGCCGCCGCTGACTCTAAAGTTCTGGGCGCTGGCGCCCGAGTCCCTAGCGCCGCCGCATCAGGCTCATTTTTTTTAAAATTTTCCCTCGGGCTCGGGCCCCCCCTCCCCTCCACCCTTATCTCTTTTCCCAGCCACACACTCTCATCCTCCCCTCTTTCTTCCCGAGACCACACAACACCCCCCCAAACCCTCCTCTTCCTTCTTCTTTCTTTCTGCCCGAACAGAGAATCCCCGCCGCAACTGAGGTGCCGGCGCCTGTGAGTGGAGCGCCGCCGCCTGTAAGGGAAGCGCCGTCGCCGCAGCTGGGTGCGCCGCCGCTGGGGATTGAGCGCCGCCGCCGCAGAGAGAGGAGTCGCCGCCACAGAGAGTGGAGCCGCCGCTGCAGTCTGAAGCGCCGCCGCTTACTGGTAAAGCGCCGCCGCTGATGTCTTCCGACGAAGAAGCCGCCGGCAGAGGCAGGGGGAGAGGCCGGCGAGGTCGTGGCAGCCGTTTGCGCGGTGAGACTCTCGTCGGCGGCTTGAATTTTTTTTTAATGGTTTGTGTTTTTTATTGATGTTTTGTTGCTTTGTTTTTGCAGTTCCTAGGCTTATGGATCCTTATTCGATGAGATTACCGCCGGCGACAATTGATCCAAGTCCGGTCGATGCGACACTTCTTTGGGGACATAGCCAACATCGTATTGACTCTGTTTGGACAAACGAGGTAAGTATTTGATAATTATTCATGTAAAGTTAATTAGCTAATTAGATTATTTTAGTTGGTGAACTGAACTGTACTGTTAGAGAATAGGATTACGTATTAGATTTTTTGAAATTAGTATAATTTGATATTAGATTAGATAGATTAGAATTAATTAGGTGAAATTAGAATTATTACAAATGAAGATGAATTAATATAAGTTTTGTGCACTATAGGCTGGTGATCGATCTTTCCATGTTCGAGGTACGACCATTTTAGTACCTTACCGTGAGCTTTATCGGCCATATCTCGAAGCCGCAGGCTTGTTAAGTGTTGTGCCCCTAGTCCCTATGAACCCCGATGCGAGTTTGATTACTGCGCTCGTAGAGCGGTGGCGACCCGAGACGTCGACCTTCCATCTACCGTGTGGTGAGGTCACGATCACGTTAGAGGACGTTGTTACACTGTCCGGTTTGGCGATCGACGGTGATGCCGTCGTAGTTGATATACCGGATGAGGAGTGGTCGGCGATCTGTTTGAGACTGTTAGGACGGGTTCCGGTTGATCTTGTAGGCGGGGTCGCTGTTGTTAGGATTGTTTGGCTGAGGGTTGAATTCAGTCATCTGCCGGAAGATGCATCACAGGAGGTTATAGAGCAGTTTGCACGAGCTTATGCTCTATCTCTGATTGGAGGTGTACTTATGCTCTATCTCTGATGCATACATCATTTCGATCAGTCAAACCCTGAACGTTCCTTATGAACCATGGCCAACTCTCAGTATTCTCGCTCTCCACTATGGCAAATGCAATTGGAAAAATTTTCTTCCGACCATCAAATGAGTTCGCCATGAGTAGCACTCCTTTATACTTCCTAGTAAGAAATGTTCCATCAACAACCATGACGCCCGGACAATTCTTGAATCCATCTATACAAGGTCCATAAGCCCAGAATACTCGCTGAAATATCAAATGACCTGGTTGAGTCGAAGGAACTCTTACCCAATCAATCACCGATGTTGGCATTTTTCTCTTGACTACCCGCAAGAATGTCTGCAAAAAATCGTAGGATTCTTCCCAATTTCCATGCAACTTCTCCAATGCTCTTTGTTTCCCATACCAAGCCTTCTTGTAAGTAACTTGCATATTAAACTTATCTTTCAACTCAGCTTGCACAGTTAGAACACTCAGATTTGGTTGGGCACGTACCAAATGTTTGACGGCCTCAGATATCATGTCGACATCAAGATGGCGATGATCCGTCGGTTGAGTCGTACTGCTACAAGAATGCACCAACTCAGCCTTTCTCACAGTCCATTCGCCTCCAGCATCTCGACATCCAAACCGCACCATCCAAGGACAATTGTCATCCTTGTGCCTCAAGCATCTGACCTTCCAGATTGAAGGTGACGACTCCACCACGCCATATTGAAAGTTGCGTTGTAGTGCGTGGTGTTTAATCGCCATCTGTGCAGCTTGTTTCGAGTGAAATATCTGCCCCTTGTAGAATTCTCCTTCAAAACTATCAACAATATGCATTGGAATTACGCCATATGAATCAACAAGTGAGTATTCTTCGTCCTCTTCATTACCCTGCAAGTAAAAATATGGAGGATAATTAGGCACTTCTTCCCCCTCTTCCTCCTCCTCCTCCTCCTCATCTTCCTCCTCTCCGTCATCACCGTCATCATAGGCATGATCGGATGGCACGCTCCATGTATCATCTTCTACCTCTCCACCCTGATCCTCACTGAGCTCAACATGTATCTCAGCACCCAAACAATAAGGATTTTGTGCCATAAAATTCCAAAGCACATTCAAGCTATCATCATCCACAATAGGCATTGCATAATGAAATAAAACACCATTCTGCCATTCTGGAAGACGGTAAATGAAACTTGTGATCACATCACTATCTTGTACTGCTTCGTCTCTACGCCGTATTCTCGGAATTAGATTCTCACAAAGATAATGATATGTGACCCTGGATGGAATCGTCATCTGAAAACTACTACCACCAACGAATTTGACGCCCAAATTATCTTCTACTTTCTCCGATTTCCATCGAACGACTAGTTCAAATCTTCTAAAATCACTACAAAAAAACAGACTCACTAATTAAAACTAAACACAATCATAATAACATTTGAATAATATAATTACAAAAATAAATGCGTCTCTTACCTATTAGCCATTTTTGCAGCAGCAACCAGAGCTCCAAAGCTCCTTTGTTTTGAACGATTTTTTTGTGGTGTGAAACTGAAATGAAATTGGCTGGGTTTATATAGGGGGGAGGCCACCTAACTCGCTGATGTCTCAGGCGCCGCCACTCTAGTCTCGGGCGCCGCCACCTGGGACAGTTTCCCACCTAACACGCTGGACTCACCGGCGCTGCCGCCTGAGTCTTCGGCGCCGCCGCCGTCACTTAATCCGAAATATCATCCAGAGCGGCGGCGCTTGAGTCCCAGGTGTTGTCGCCATTTTGTGTCTCCAAAACACAATATCTATGTAAATACTTCTTAATCCGCCATATTGGTGGTAAATTAAAAAAAAAAACAATATTTGTGTCATTTATCCCAATGTTTACGACAGAAATTTTCATAATGGGCCTATCATTTCGCTCTTTATATGGGTCTGGTTAATTGGGCTACCAACAATGTCACTAGTCCTATTGTAATCCAAAGAAACGGAGTCGATTCAAATCTGCATCGACAAAGGAAAGGGAAACCGGTGCGATTTTAAATAGCGATAAACCTCTGACGACCTCGAAATAAGCAAACTATCAATCTTTCATCCCATCGAAAATCTAAGCCGCTTCCGTCGAAGATTCTCTCTCGCTTACAGTTACGCTTTGTTTGGGAAGAGGGGGAAGTGAGGGGGGTGCAAGAGACCAGGGGTAAATGCCAACCCCGATGCATTTGCACTCGTTTGGCAAATTAGGAATAGTAGGGGGGCGGAGGATTGTAGGTGCAAAATTACTGTTTTAATTGACCCCCCAAATCTGGGCGGAAGTGGAGAGAGGAAGCGTGAAGGCTCTTAACACATTTATTTTATTTTTTTTCTTTCAACAAAGGCAAGCGACGACTCTTCTCTCTTCCTCAAATCACCGGAGTTGGACTTCGCCAAAGTTGAATCTGCAACCACCATCTCTTCTATATTCCTTGACGGCAACGTTGTTTGTCGATCCGGAATCTGGTGGTCGATCTGAATTCAGGTAAATGAGAGAGAGAGAGAGAGAGAGAGAGAGAGAGAGAGAGAGAGATTGTGCTCTCATCAACATCCCAGATTCACCGCCATTAATTCTCCTATAGATTCGCCGTCCGGCCACCCCTCAAGCAGCTGTCAACAGAGAGAGAAGCCAGATTTGTTCGATGAATGAGAGAGAGTGAATCAAGATAAGGGATTAGGTTTTCGATCTTCTTGCCTGCGGATCGATGGAGGAATCACCTCCGGCACCGGCTTTCAGCTCGCCAAGCTTCTTGTCGGCGGCGACTAGGATGATGAAGCGGCAATTGGAAAAGTAAAAGCAGAAAGGGAGAAAGAGAGACTTGGAAGTTGGAATTAGAACGGGGAAGGGATGAGATAAGATATAGTAGATAGTTGGTAAATTATATTTATTATTATATTAGTTTTAATTTTTAAATTATATTAATTAATATTTTTTTATTAATACATATTTTACACCATTTAATTTTACTTGACAAAATAATTAATTATTATTTTACCATTATTAATTAATAATTATTTTTATTAAAGTATATTATTATTTATTAGTAATAAATTTTATTTTGTGTTAATATTTAATAAATCTATTTGCACCCCCAACTTTTTCATCCAAACAACAATTTACCCCTCTACTTGCACCCCCTCGAATTTGCACCCTCCTGCAATTTACTCCTCAACTTGCACCCTCCTCGAATTTGCACCCCCTGTTGCCAAACACAGCATTAAGTAATGGCGACTATCATGGTGGAAGATACAACTTTCGAGGACTATCAGTTATCGTCCATGCCCACTGACGCCATCTCTAGAGGTTTCAGGCTTCTTGACAACGGAATTTGGATTATGAAGTGGAAGTCCGATCTTTTATCCCCATCCCCTCACCTTTTTTGGGTCTCTCTCGATTTTTATGCCATTGCTTTGAGCTCCCCACTTAGGTTTCATCTTTTCGAGGGCTGAATTAGGGTTTTTGTTTTGGGGTCTGGTGGGAAAAGTTGCAGAGGATGAATCTCAAATCGAAGTCTTACAAGGAGAAAATAAAGGAGAATCAAGAGAAGATTAAGTTCAACAAACAGCTTCCTTACTTGGTTGGAAACATTGCGGAGGTATATACTTTTTAGCCAATTAGGGACCTTTCGTTGTTGTGCTTGCTTGCTTGATTGATTCGCGAGTAGTTTTACATAATCAGTTTGGGTTTTCGTGTTGGGGCTTTGTTATAGATTCTTGAGATGTACCTAGAAGATGATGCAGAAGAAGATGGTGCTAACATTGACCTCAACTCGCAAAGAAAAGGGAAATGTGTAGTCCTAAGGACATCTACTCGTCGGGCGTGGAGTCTCTCTCACTCACTCTACTTGATAGAATTTCTAAACTCGTTTTCCTATTCTGTCTTCTAAAATGGTTGAACTTCTTTGTTCCTCGCAGACTATTTTCCTTCCAGTGGTTGGTTTGGTTGACCCTAACAAGTTGAAGCCTGGTGACTTGGTTGGAGTCAACAAAGATAGTTACTTGATCCTCGACACTTTACCATTGGAGTATGATTCACGAGTAAAAGCGATGGAGGTTGACGAGAAGCCTACCGAGGGCGACATGATATTGGAGGTTGGAGAAGCAGGTATACATCTTCATCTTTTTTCTTCTTAGTGTGCAAGAGCACTATTGGATATATGGCTAATCGTTGAGCGTTTCATAATCTATATGGAATCCCTGAAATTGCATATTCAAGAACTAGTAGAGGCCATTGCATCATACTCCTGGTACTGGTAAAACGTTGATGGCTCATGCATGTGCTGCACAAATGAATGCCACTTTTTTTAAAGCTTGCTGGCCCACAACTTATCCAAGTATGGCTTTCTCGCCCCTTTCTTTGCCTCTTTTAAGTATTTGTGTATTCCCTTTGGATAATGACAATTTCTTGATATAAACAGAGACTAATTGTGAGTTATGTTATGTTGTGTAGATGTTCATCGGTGATGGAGCAGAACTTGTCCGAGACGCATTTCAACTTGCAAAAGAGAAGTCACAATGCATTATTTTCATTGATGCAATTGGGACGAAGCATTTCGACAGGTATGTTGTTTTTCTCACAAGATATCATGGTATTTCTATCTCTTTGTGTTATTGAGACATGTTGAAGTATCTCAACTGATTTCTAGTTGTGTTTGGTACGTAGTGAAGTAAGTGGCGATAGGGAGGTACAAATGACCATGTGGAATTGCTAACCAGCTCCATGGATTTAGCAGCGATGATCGAATTAAGGTATGTTCTTTCCCTAGAAATTTATGCTAATAACTATGGCTTGTTTGTTGTAATTAACAAAATGCCATTTTTATTCAGGTGATTGCTGCAACAAATCGAGCTGATATGTTGGACCGTGCTCTTATGGGTTCTGGTCGTTTGGATCGTAAAATTGAGTTCCCCCATCCGACTAAAGAAGCTATAGCCTAGATCTTGCAGGTTTATTATACCCTAATACTTTCATTAATTGCAGGGAGAGATGGAACTATGGAAAGTTTCTGACATTTCCAGCTTCTCTGGTATATGTAGATCAACTCGAGGAAAATGAATGTTCATCCTGATGTCAACTTTGAGGAACTAGGCCGTTCGACGGATGACTTCAATGGGGCACAGCTAGGACTGTCGGTTCGGTTCGGGTAACCGAACCCGAAACCCACGAAAAATCAAAAAACCCGAACCCTAGCCACATAATCCGAAACCGAACCCGAAACTGTACTTTGTGGTTTTTGGGTATTGGAACCCGAAAAGTATGCTGGCGGGTTTGGTTCGATTCGGGTGAACCCAAAACCGAACCGTTTTGAGTTTCTTTTTTTTTTTACTTTTGTGATTTGAATTTTAGAGATAAAGTAAAATACTTAAACATATTTTATACGTAACTTAATCATATCTTATTTAATTGTGGATTTTCGTATAGTTAAATGTTTTAGTAATACCATAAGTCCAAAATTGAAGGTATATCAACTATCATATGCAAAAAAATGTTCGGTGTTTGGCGCAAAATTATAAATAAGATATGATTTGAGTGTGCGCCGAAGTCGGGATGCTTGCACTTCGACGGGATGCAAGCGAGGAAAATCATGAGGATTTCAATGAAGGCATAATCCAAGTGCAAGCCAAGAAGAAAACAAGCTTGCATTACTATGCTTGAGTGAATGGAGAGAATATCATCAGAAGATTTGAGTGTGTTTTCACCTTGCACCATTAGACTTTCTTATTATGCGCTGAACTTGAAGTGTGCTTGTGTAGCGAACATTGCAACATTAGACTTTAGATGGTGAATGACAACTCTTTCACAAGTAGCAACTCCTGCAAAACCCTCAACTTATCCTGCAGTTTAGCAGAGCAAGAACAACAAATTACGATTGTAGTTTGGTGTTGAAATAATTTTGGTACGATGTTGAGTGACTACCATTACACAAGTAGCAACTCCTACAAAACACTTGGCTTATTATGCTGTATAGCAGAGTAAGAACAACAAACTACTATCCTAATTTGGTATTTGAAACAATTTCGGTACGATGTTGGTAATCTAAATACTGATGGAAAACTTGATAGACCTTTTCAGATGGAGAGATTTGGGTCCTAGTAAGAAGTCATTTCAAGGTTTAATGAACATTGAGCTTGTGGGTATGACAGAGCAGATCGACCTGGGATGTTGGTTATGAACAGGTTATCGAAAATGTTACAAACTCGATAGACTTCTTCAGATTAGTAGGTTCGGGTCATTATACAGACCTCTTCTTCTATCATCTCAAGGACAAAAATGGAAGTGCCATCTTGCTCATATTAAGTAAATTTGGGAATCAAGGGATTTTTTTTCCTAGAATACACACGTTTGTCGGCCGCGTTGAAGGCCTGACCTAAGGCAGAAACTTCAAACGAACGTAACTTTGCGCTCGGTTATCCGATCCTAGCGAAATAGTTTTTGATTCCACACAACTTTTCAAGATCTTTTAAACTGCAACCATCTTCATCCCAAAAAAAAAAATATATTGTTTGCTATCCCGAACGATCAATTTTTCAATTTCGACAAACTTTAAAAGACCATAACTTTGTGCTCCGCAATCCGAATGTAATGAAACTTTTTTTGATTTCACATAAATTTTTAAGGACTACAACTTTTAACATAACCATAATTTTGGAATGTATGTGGATTTGTGAAATGTAAAGGCAAAGTTCTTCCCAAAATCCCATATACCCAAACATATTTTTTGTTTTGAAAATTATTTCCTAGTAAAAGTTGTAGTTATATAACAGTTATGCGAAATAAAAAAAAAACTTTATGACGTTCGGATTGAGGAGCACAAATTTATGGCCTTCCAAAGTTTGGCAAAATTAAAAAAATTGCTCGTTTGGAGTAGCAAACGACATTTTTTTGGAGGGTAAATGCCACATTTGGTCACTAAGATTACTAAATCGTGTCATGTTTAGTCACTAGAAAAATTTTATATCAATTTTGGTCACTCGAATTACTGAAACGTGTCACATTTGGTCACTCTCCTGTAGCCTCTATCCAACTCCGGTCACTCGAATTATTGAAACATGTCACATTTAGTCAGTCGGATACTTAAACATGTCACATTTAGTCACTCTCCCAAAAGTTTCCGTCCAATAGTTGTGTGACTTATGTTCAATAACAAACCCAAACTCTTAGTTGTCCGCTATCAGTACAAAACTCAAACTTTTGATAGAGTGTCATTTATATCATAAAGTATTCAAATAGGATGATTTTGACACCAAGTTTGTCGTCATTACGTTGATTATTAATGGTTAACATCAAAATATTGATTAATGATGTGTTGCCTCACATGAAATTTTGTATTTAAATATATTACTTAAAAATAAACACTTCAAAAGAGTGATGAAAAATTCCGATTCTAATACGACCCTGGGGGTGTATATTTTCAAAGTCACGCAGCTAACGAATCAATCGAAGGATCGATTGAGCTCGAATCAAGAACGAAGCGTTCTTAATACGAACTTGGATAAAACGGAACCAAAAGTGCAATTCCACATCTGGGGAAAGGCTCGATTGGTATAATGATAGATGCCCGACCATGATCAACGCGTTTTTGATCGATACAAGAGCTCAACGAGCTTGGAATCCACCAAAGCTCACACAAGTACGCAAACTTGCAAAAACCTAACGGTTTCAATTCAATTCAATAAACTCTAACGATTACAATGCAAAAGACGAGTTTAAATAAACCTAGATACGTCTAACAAACTAATAAGGAAGTCTAAACACAATACAACTAGAAAAGGAATCAAAATCTAACAATTAAATGAATCCTAGTTGAATTAGGAAAGCATAATTTTGTTTCTCAAAGGCAGATTTTTGTGACTTTGTACGATCTTAGAGCCTTTTGTTCAAAGCCTTCTAAGTATCCATTCTTCTATCCAATGCCTTCTCCTTGTAGACAAAAGTACGTACTTTCATGTGGTAGAAGCCTCTTGACTTAAATCTGATCCATGCTTCTAGAATTGAGCACCAAAGTAGGCTTCATGATCACACATTTATACTTGGACAGATTCTGGCAGTTTTCCTGTTTTGAGGTAGCAACTTTGAGACTTTGGAAAACATGCATACCAATGTGTAGATAATCACTCCATGTGTAGATAATCAAGCATACCAATGTGTAGATAATCACTCCATGTTCAATACAAGCCATTAAGCTTGAATTTCCATTAAGCCAATTGTGAGATGCATGCTTCCATAGTAGGTACCCTGGACAGGGATTTTGACACAGCCAAATTCTGCCCTTCTTCTTCCCAACCTTGATAGCTTCTTTGGCAATCAATAAAATCGTGTAGAGTTGGCCAATTTGAATCATATTAGATTCCATCTCCCAAAAATATTTCTACTTCTAACAACAGCTCCAAATTCATCTCCCTGTCGGTTGTAAATGCTAAAAATGCCCTTTGATCTCCAACCTTCCTTTCCTCCCCTACGTCAACATCTCCGCCACCACCGCTTGAGGCTGATGGACTTTAACAATTGACTAGTGGAGGCTTTCAAACTTTGTCAAGCGAGTTCGATGACCCGTTGTTTGGTCTCAAGCACCTCCTCTAGAGCAGCATCAATAACAACAACACCAATCCTATGGGGTTTCAAACACTAGTCACAATTTGGGGGCTTTTCCTGCTTCAGGGTTCGTCGAACTTACTGGGAATGACAGAACTGCTGGTGACTTAATAGGCATTAGATATGCAACACTCTCCCTAGTTCGTTTAATGGAAACTATTTTGATATGCAACAATATCCCTAGTCAGTTTAATGGTAATTACTCTTTAAGTTCTGTGTGCTTTAAGATATCAACAAGCTTGTTGACGACAACACAGTAGTCGAGGCTAGCATGAAACAACCTAAGTATCGTTGTTTTTCTCCTCCTCTTCTTCCTTTTCATCCAACTTCAAATCCTCCCTTCCTCTCTTCTCATCGACTTCCTCTTCAGCTAGAAACTCTACTTACGCATAATCTGTACAAAATTAGCCCAATAAGCTAACTAGCAAAACTAGTTGAGCAAACTACCAACCACAATTGTATAATTGATGAAAACACCATGATCTTTGGTAAAACTCGACATCCCTTCATTTAAGAAGAATGGTGTTATTTTTGGCTTCTTCGAGCGACAATATTGCTTCTGATCACCAGGAAAGACCTACCAATGGTGAGTTGGACCAGATTGAATATAAATTGATTTTAATTTCTCTTTAGATGGCTAGGAAAAAGTCACAGTTCCAAAATGTATTTGTGTTTTAACTCTTTTGATATTGGTAGGAGATAAACTTGCATGTCAATTAGTTTCCACCAAGACCTTATGATGCCTAGTGAATACAAATTAGAGAATTGGGTGACAATATAGTTATTCATCCACATATATAAAGTTACTATTACATGGTAGGAAATTAAAAGTTCTATAACTCATCTGAATTATTAAGCGAATTATATTCAAAAGCCAAAACTGAATTGCACCAATTATGCGTGTGTTCGTTTTCATGGGATCAATATTGTCAAATAGAACACACAAATCCGCACTTTATCGAGTAATGAGATAATTGATGGGATTGTATGCTTTAATAACACCTATACATACATACTTCATTTATTTGAATGTTAATATAAAATTTAGCCGTACTTAATAGTTAATAAGGCTCCGATTGCACACACCAAACCAGAGCTCCTCAATGAGTTTGAAAAACGCAGAATTTCAGTCTTGGTCATTTTGTTGTACGATTTGTTAGCAAAGCAAGCATTCGATTCTTTATTAGTGGTGGAAATTCTAGGCCTAATCTTGTCCTCTACCGCGGTGCCCACAATTTACGTAGGCGAAAAGCCACAAACGAATGAATTGTTGGTGTTGATGGCAGCAGTACAGAATGTTCAAGAAGCTACAAGACTCCTCGATGGTAAAGTAACGGTTTTTATGACAGTCAACTTCGTAGACCTAATCACTCTGTCGTTGTTCCTTCCACTATTGCTTCACTTCCTGAAGGAAGTCGCTCTCTTCTCATGGTCAAGTTTCACGTTTATGTGTACTATAAGACGTACAAATATCCACTGTCAATAAACTCGAATGGATTCACAACCACACCTTTGTCCCTCATGATCCAATAAGGAAATGATATTACAACATCTT